TACATTGACAAATGTTTAGGGAAGAGGTTTGTGCAGTCAGCTGAGCTGGTCCTGCTGTCACTTTACTGTATATTTAGCTTCCCCATCAGTTTTCTCAAATCTTTGTGTAGTTATGTGTATTTTAACATATGTATTTGTAACTGTCACTAGTAGCTATTTCACACTCTTTTCAGGTTTAGTGGTCCTTTAAGTTATATATTCAATTTCCCATCTGTTCTCAGTGGAGACTGCTGTGAGGAACGTCTAGGCTATCAATATACAATTACATTTTTGTCCATACCAGCAAAGATCTAAGCTTTGCTTTCTGTAATTGGGTTGTGCGTGAATAAACAAGAATCAATAACGAATATTTTACAGTAATATCTGTATTGTCTCTTCAGTTCATCTTGAAGTCCACAGTGGAGTTATGACCCCTTGGTTACAGAGTACAACTACATAAAGCAAAGAAAATGTACCAATATACAAAATACAAGATCACTCAGGGCTAAAATTCACACAACTGCAACACATCATATCGACCTAACTTATTTCAATCTCAAATCGGCTTTCAAGTTTTCTAATGCTTTTCTACTGCAAGAATGTAAGCGGTGATAGGAAAAACAATGACTGGAAGGTTAAGTGTGGTACACTGAATATATGACACCAGAGAATCAGTGCAAATTACAATGAAAATGTAGCAAAGCGGTAAGTATAAGGCAATTGTAAAGCCACTGAACTCTCAGAGAATGGATAAGATGGTGATATACGTATTATAAGAACAAAACAATTTATGCCTCCATTTATTCTATTTTTACTCTTTGTTGAAAAGGACACCAGACTGGTCAAGACAACTTAAACAGTTACAAATCTGATGGACGAATGATTAGAAACATGACATTAGAATACATACTTATACATATAATTTAAAGTACCCTATTCAGGTCTCAGACCCTTTTAGTTGGCTACAACAATACATTACAGCTCCCAATACCTTTCAACAGGATTTTGCAGCTGACAACATAAGCAGTTAGCACATACATTTTACTTTAAAGTGACACTAAACTCAGGAGTTAAATCTTTAAAAAAAAATGCATTCAAGCACCTTAACTATTAACACAAATGTATCTTTCTATCTATTTGTGTATCGCTCGGCTGCAGATCCTCAAATCATCTCTGAATTGGTGCTGACACTGTCCTTCCTTCTGGAGGGCGGCTACTTTCCCCCCCCCCCATGGTCCCTGTGTGTGTTGTGAAGTGGCCACCATTCCTGTGATGAACTACAATCTCACACTTAGCTAATCTACACTGAGACTGTAGTCCATCACGGCAGTGAGCTTGGAGCGGTGGCTACTTTACAACACACACAGGGACCATGGGGAACAAAAGTAGTCACGTTAAACTCTGTCCTTCTATTATTTTCTGGACCTTCTGGACATGGCTATGAAACTAGCGACTTACGGTCACTATTTTTATAGCCTTGCATTCCACCATGTAACAATGCCACCTGATAGATCACGTAGGCCCCAAACATTACAAAGTTGGATAGGGGCCAGTGATGTCCTTGTTCCACAGGAAGTGAAAACATGGGGCTAGGCATAGAAAAATAACTGGAGGCTCCCATGGAGAAATGAGTAGTGTCTGAAGGTTATTGCTATAGCCACTTTTGAAGACCTGACACATGCACTGCAAGTACAATTTCTAGCATAAGTCCCAGTATGAGTTCTGACCAAAAATAATGTTCAGATCATTTTGTATTAACAGCTGGGTAAATGGGAAACTGGAACAATCATTGTGGACACATAAAGTGCCGAATCTGCAACCTGTTCACAAATCATGGGGGCGGACGTACTGTGTCCTTTTTGCCTGCTCAAGTGTTTAAGTGGATGTAACAACTAGAACTGTTTGTTTAATACTGTTGTACCGTATTTCCTGCAACATCTTACTTACCTGGTGTACTGGTGTTTCAGTAATTTTACCGTACCTTAAAATAGTCCAATATATAATCTACTTGGGGAAAAAGACATAAAGCCCAGTGATCTTGCCTCCGCCATCATTAATAAATAAAACGACTAACCCGCCAGCATTTACCAAGTGCGTAAAATGTCAGTTTTTGATGGACTGTCCCTATAAACTAATTCCTTATTCCACTAATTAAATGATTCAAAATTATTTTATTAACTTTAAGGTTTAACTATTGAAATGAACTGCTAAGCTATTGATTTAGATTAAAAAAAAACTGCAACATTTATTCACCACTACTGATAAATGATGGCTAACATCAGTTTCAAATGCTTTTAGGCAAAATAACGTATACGCAGTGCCCTCTGGTGGCAAAAGGTCCAAGAAGAATAACAAGACACATGTTACATACAGAATTCAGGAAAAGTCCATCTTGCACTATTGTTTTAAAAATACAAATGTGGTAAAACTACTATGTCAAAGGGTGTTCACCTGTTTTTACAGAATAGTCATGCATGCAAGCTCACCACTGCAATTGCAAATCAACGAGTTTCCAAGGGGCCAAAAGAAGGTTGCCTGAACAGCTTTGGCAAGTGAAGATGGCTTCTGAGCTGCTCACCTGATTGATGGTGTTACCTAGTGTGTGCCAAACACCTTTGCAAGCCCAACTAATAGTTGAGCTATGGGAGAGACTCAATAGGTCCACCCCCCTACAGGCTGCCTGCAGATTACTACAGGAGGGGCAGATACAAGACCAGTCACCCTGCACAAGGAGAGAGAGCAGCAGTCACTGGTCTTTTTACAGGAAGCTCCTGATCAGAGTCAAAGTTTCACTGCAGAGATCAGGAAGAAATATACAAAGGGCACCACGATTCCAGTAAGAAAACACATGGCTCTTGTATTTGGACAATATTTGCTTACCCTGAGGTTCGGCATTAGGGCAACAAATAAAAAAATACAGTAAATATTTTACAGCATTGCTAGCAAGGCCCCACAATGTGTACGATAAGATCTCTAAACTTGTACATCAGCCATTCTCAACCAGGGTGCTGTGGCACACTCCTGTGCCTCCTGGCCTCCTCAGGGGTGCCGCAAAATTTTGTGCTAGTGGGACTGTAATGTGAAGGGGGAATGAAGACTGATGTAAAAGGGGAACTCTGATGTGAAAGGGGGGCTTCTGATGCAAAGGGTGACTCTGATGTTTCTAGTAATGCACTGTTTATTTTTTTGGTAGAACTTTATTGAAATATCATAAGTGACAATTCATTCAGTTCTATGGGCTCGCCGCAATGTGATGCGGTTGTACTGCGTCCCACTGAGGTGCACTTAAAAAAAGTACTGCATGCCATACTTTTTTTAAGTGTACACCACCGGAACGCAGTGGTGTGAGCCGAGCCCATCCATGACAAAGCAATTTGCCTTGTGCTGCATTAGAGCTGCGCTGGAATAAATGGCCAGCACAGACCAAACGTAGAAAGTGTGAATCGTCCCTTAAAGTGTATTTCGTTTGAATTTTGTATTCGAGTGTGAACTACTTTTAATTCTTCAGGATTCTCCAGAGAAAAACATGAGATAACGGTTACCACTGATGCAGGTATGTCTCTGATGTTCCCTTTCTTAATTCATTCATATTTCTAGAAGATTTAATGTCTAGTTATGAGATCTGTATATGACTTTTTTTTTATTTACATGTGGTGTTTTTTATGGACTTCTTTACTTTTCCTAACAATTTTGGATAGTGAATTGCTATTGGACTTTAAAATCCAATACACCACACAGTATGGGCAGGATGCTAACCAGAAGAGTTTGTAAGAGACTATGCACAGTACCATATGATATCAGAGTTTTAATTGTACTTTAAGCCGAGCTCCAGGCAAATAATAAAAAAACAAAAAACAAAAACACCCTTTTAATCCAGTAATGGATGCATTTTATATACAGCTAGTATACGAACTTCAAACTTGTCCTTATATAAGCTGTGTGCAATTCCCCTGCACAAATAAATTCTAACAGCTAGCGATGTCAGTTGATCAAGCTTTATTGCACTGCATGGTGCAGTCAGTCTAACACTGTGAACACTATGAACTTACCTACTGAAGGGGAGAAGAGAGAGATGACCCCAACAGTGTACTGCAACTGCTCTTCATTTGTCCAATCAGTAGGATGAGGGCAGTCAGGTGACTCTGTAATAATTATTTAACCGGCTCTGCATTGTAGGAAGAATGTTTGAATTATAAAAGTGGTTGCACATTCACAAACATTTTGGCTGGTAAAATAGGTCAGGCTTATGTATTTGCCTTAGACTGTAAGCCAGTGAATGAGCTGCTGATCAAACAAGTCTATGCTTTTCAGCTATGTCTAGATTACAGTAACTCCAGAACAGGACATTCAACATGTTGTTTATTTAGATATTAACTTTGTAAAGGTTAAAAAAGTTACCCTACAGAGACTGTTATGGATGTTCAGCTTCACGTACAAGAGACTGGATATTTGTCACTTTTCATTAAAGGATATCCACGTTGGGCAGGTTTCTCATAGAGAATAACATAAATTAGTTTTACGCCTAATCTTGTCCAATCTGCTCCAAGCCTTCCTGATTTGTCATCATCCTGATGGGGAATGCCAAGTACTGTTGAGAAGAAACTGCAGCACAGTGCTGGGAGCATCTTCTTAACTTAGGTTACCCTACATTCTCCAGATTTCATCGGATGAAGTGACCCTGGTCTAGGTCTCATGAATGGAAGCTGGAGGAAAGGTGAGAATGTAATCTAACATTTTTTTCTCCTTTGGTTGATTTCTTTTTTACACTTAGTGTTTTACCCAGGGGAAGGGGGGACACATGTAAAAAAACGGACCTTGCATTTTAGGTGCAAAGTTGACTTTAACAAATCAATTTGTATCTAGTAGTAAGAGTCTTTTAATACACAGGCCTCTGTAAACTTGGTTCAACCAACCAATTAACATGCTACTGTGTGTGGTCAGTTTTTTTTTGTTACACATTCATTCTGGTTTAGATCTAGGAAACACCGCTGAATAATGAATATGTTCATAAGACACAGAACACAATGTAGGCACAAATATGCTTAATACATTCGTTCTCTAAATCGGTCTTGTATAATACTACATTGCAGCTCATTTAATTCAACATTAAACCATTGCTTGGAACTTTCTATATAAGGCTGATGTTCTTTCATTAATTACTTAAGTGACACTGTGTTTGTGTAAAGGAAAGAAACTGCATGGCAGTTGAATTGGCCATTTGGCAGCTCTGATGCACTCCAAGCTGTCAACATAAACCTGTTTAACACAGTGCAGAAACACAAAATTAACATTTACATGTCACGTTAATAAAGCATGAAGGATATTTCCTGTACATGGTCGCTGATGTAAATCTGAATTAATAGACTTCTTGCTGTTAATTCTAGTCTAGGACAGCCTTTGATGACAAGCATCATAGTAACTAGTGCTGTTAAGAGCCGAGAACATTTCTTTTTTCACAAAGTTGACAAACTTCCCAAGAGGACACATTGGCTGACTTAAGCGCCTGTCAAGGGACCTGCAAAATGAGGTTTGATATGTGACATCCTCCCCGTTATACAGAATCCTAACAAAGTATTCTTTTGCTTTCTCCAAATTCTGCCACAGCTCAAAGACCAAGCGAGCTGCAAATCGTGGGAACCTGGCTTCTGTGAGCCCGATGGCACTGAGGACTGGGGAAAGAGTCACATCATGGGCAGAGTATAAGGCAAAAACTTCTTCCTTTTTGCCTTCAGCTATGCGCTGCATTCGGTTTACAGTCTGGTTTAAAAGGGGGTGGGTTGCTAGTAGTGCATACTTGTAATAAAGCTGCTTTTCATGTCTCTCCTTTTCATCCTCTATTTGATGAGACTTAATGACCTTAAAGTGCTCAATGTCAATGCAACCATTTTTGGTGCAGGGGAAACTTACATTGTGGCAGAAATGGCACAGTAATGAGTCAATGGGGTTTGAGGCTCTTAGCTGGCGAGTGGGGACCCCAACCACCTTGGCCATACTGATGTAAGTTTTCTCTAGCTGGCTGTTCTTTACTCGATAGCTGTACTGGCGACGCTGCTCTTCCTCTAGATAGTGGTTCCTCATAGGGCAGTCACAGTGACCAGAGCAAAAGATACTGCTCCACTGGTGTTTAATGTTTATCTTCTTCCAATCAAAGCCAGGCAGGAGACTGTAGAGTAAGGCCAGTCCACTTTGAAGTGTCCGGCTCTTTCCAGTGGATTCAAGATAAAGGTGCTTTGTGGTCCAGTCATTTGGTAGCAGCTTATGCTTCTTTAAGTAGTTCTCTTTTAGAATCTGTCCATTCTGTAGATGCTGAACAACACCTGCATTTTGCACACAAGTTAGTTTGTAGAAGTTAAATGTTTGAATAAAAGGGGACTTTATATATGCAAAACCTGCTCCTTGTGTACCCCCCACCCCACCCCTAGAAATGCTAAGTGAAGGAGAAAAACTTTAAATACTATAAATAAGGGTGAGTAAATAAATACTCACACTGGCTTCCTGTGAGCTCACCTAAGCGAGGGTGACATCATTTGGCCTTCTCTTGGGATCCTGGGAAAGCTAAGGAGCCCTAATCTAGCAAGATTCTGTTTTTTTTTTCTTTCAATTAGCATATTTGCTGTCTTTAACCAGCATACATTTCTCTATAGCAGTGCCTCTCAAAGTTTTGCAGTTTGCAAAAACACTTTAAAGCAAGTCTCACCTACACCCACTTCTTAAACTGTAAAAATGATTACCAATGGTATAAACTCTCGCTTTATGTTCTCCTTTATTACTCCTGTGCTGTTATATATTTTATAAAGTCACTGTGCAAAATAATCTGCTCAAACTGTGACAGTATTTACAAATCAAAACCACTCCTCAATTGCCCTCATCCACTCCTAAGGTCTCCACCCTTTCTTTGCCATTAGGGGATGCACAGATACTTCTCGAGTACCAGTGCAGATACTTGGCATTTTCATGAGAACTACCAGGGTTGCAGAGGTTGCAGCTGGGACCAGGCTTTGGCACTCTACCTCTGTCCTGAAATCATTAGTCAATATTGTTTTAGAAAAATTGTCAAATGACAATAAACAAAAATGTATCAGTACTCGTACTTGTAAGTACTCGGCAAGTACCAGTACTCGTAAAACTGGTATCGGTGCATCCCTTCTTGGAGCTCAAAAGTATCGGTACATGTACTCGTGCTTGTACCGAGTACTGTACTTGGTATCTGTGCAACCCTACTTGCCATACACCATTTGTCAATCCAGACAGGGGCACTGCTTTGTTCTCAGGCACCACTGATTACATCTTGCACAGCATAACCCCTAGTACCTTCAGGGTTGGAAAAAGCAGAGGGATTAAAGCAGGAAACCTCCCACTTATCTGCTGTCCACTGTCACTAAATATAATACATCCTACAGTAGAGCATAAAAATATAGGGAGAGACCACCCAATGCATGCCTACTGAACACCAGTGGATCATGGACAGCGTGAAAAACAGTGCTCTATAGAAGTAAATGGGAATTTAAGCTAACATGATCTGGTAAACACATTTCAAAAGCAAGCCATTGATGTTTGCATTATAGGTTTAATACTGACTTGGGAATTTTCTGATTTAAAAAGGACAATTTCATCTTATATGAATTAATAAAAACAAGCTTACCTGTCTGAGTTAGTTCTCCCATTTCACAAATGGAATGGCTTGGAAAACGAGGCAGGCTACTCAAAGTACCATCCATTTGTGCTTCCGAACCTTTATTCATGTGACTGACAAAATCTGCCAAGTTAGGATGAGATGGGCTTCTGCATAAAAGAGAAAGTTATCAATAACAGCGTGCATATACATATACAAGTGTATTTTAAATGATAGAGACAGAATATCAACCAAAAATCCAGAGAAAACACATGATACAAATGTTATAAATAAATTCCAGTTCAGTGAGTGAAATAAGTATTTGCTGCCCTAACAACCAACAATAATTCTGGCTCCTCCCACAGACTGGCTATGTGGTACACAGGTTAGTCCTGTCAATGTAAGAAGGTGCTCCTAACGACAACTCGTTATGTATATAAAAGACACCTGTCCACAGAATCTCTTCCTTCCATTCAAACCTCACCACCATGGGCAAGACCAAAGAGCTGTCAAAGGACGTTAGGGACAAGACTGTAGACCTGCACAAGGCTGGAATGGGCTACAAGACTATCAGCAAGAAGCTTGGTGATAAGGAAACAACTGTTGGAGCAATTATTCGTAAATGGAAGGAATACAAAATAACCATCAATCGCCCTCGGTCTGGAGCTCCATGCAAGATTTCGCCTCATGGGGTAATGATGATCATGAGAAAAGTGAGAGATCAGCCCAGAACTGCATGGGAGGAACTTGTGAATGATCTCAAGTCAGTTGGGACCACAGTCAGCAAACAAACCATTGGTAACACAATACACCGCCATGGATTGAGATCCTGCAGCACCCGCACTGTCCCGCTCCTCAAGAAGGTACATGTACAGGCCCTTATGACGTTTGCCAATGAACAACTAAATGATTCAGAGAAGGATTGGGAGAAAGTGTTGCGGTCAGATGAGACCAAAATTGAGCTCTTTGGCATTAACTCGACTCGCCGTGTTTGGAGGAAGAAACATGCTGACTATGACCCTAAGAACACCCCCCTTCAGTCAAGCAAGGAGGTGGAAACATTATACTTTGGGGCTGTTTCTCTGCTAAAGGTACAGGCTGACTTTGCCGCATTGAGGGGCCAATGGACGGGGCCATGTATTGTAAAATCTTGGATGAGAACCTCCTTCCCTCAGCCAGAACACTGAAGATGGGTCGTGGATGGGTCTTTCAGCATGACAATGACCCAAAACATACCGCCAAGGCAACAAAGCAGTGGCTCAAGAAGAAGCACATTAAGGTCATGGAGTGGCCTAGCCAGTCTCCAGACTTTAATCCTATAGAAAACTTATAGAGGGAGCCGAAAGCCTTAAGGATTTAGAGAAGATCTGTAAAGAAGAGTGGACCAAAATCCCTCCTGAGATGTGTGCAAACCAGGTAACCAACTACAAGAAATGTCTTACCTCCGTGCTTGCCAACAAGGGTTTCTCCACCAAGTACTAAGCCATGTTTTGCTTGGGGATCAAATACTTATTTTACTCACTGAACTGCAACTCAATTTATAACATTTGTATCATGTGATTTTTGGTTGATATTCTGTCTCTATCATTTACAATACACCTATGATAAACATTATAGACCTTTCATTTCTTTATAAGTGGGCAAAGGGGTGAGATCTGACTAACTGAGTTTCCAGCTCTGCACTCCACTCCAACAAAGCCCCCTTTCTTGTGGTGCATCCAGTTTAGTGTCAGACTCCAAGATACATTCTTCATTATGCTGAATATTTGGAAAATGAATGGCTATGGCAGGTATAGCAAAGAGGATTGGAAACCTAAGGTGTAGACATCTTGCCAGTCTACTGCCTGACAGACATTGCAGGATACAACTTACTGCCATGAACTGCAACATACTAAAAAAAATCTTTGGTCTGCCCTGAACCAGGAAGATATAATAAGCAAATTATAATAATAATTAAAAGGAGAACTATGAGATGAGTGATTTCCACTCACCTCATAGTTCTAGCCGAACTGTGACAATGAGACTGTCACAGGTCAGCTCAGTAGATCGGGAGGTGAGCGAACAAATACCAGGTTCGCTCACCTTCCGATCCTGTCACGGCTCTCTGCCGTGACAGGGGGAGGGGCTGGATTCCCCTCTCCCCGCTCCGATCTGCCAGCGCTGACTGGCGGAACGGACGGGGAGGGGGCAGGTACAGCTGGCTCTGCCTCTAGATAGGCAGAGCCAGCTGTCACTCACGCAGCTGGGCGGATCCCGTCGGGATCCGCTCCGGCGTCTCAGTATGCCGCGAGCTGTAGCTCGCGGTATACTGAGCTTAGGGTAACGGGAGGACGCTAGTTTGTGTCCTCCCGTTACCCTAAGGAGAACTATGGGGAAAAACACTGACCCCATAGTTCTCCTTTAACAATAAGCCAACCAACTGAGCACACATTCCCATATCATAAGTTAGGGAGTAAAGTGTACAGAAGTTCCTGAATTTTTTCTGTGCCACAGTTTTACTGAGAGGAAGTTAGAAGTAATCAGATGATTTAATTTTACATATGTAGCATGGAAAGGTCAGGTCTTATGGCAAAGTTACATTACAATTTATTAAAGGCATCAAATATAAACATGACTACACAGTATAGTGAGGCTACATAATAAATGTGGACTGTACCTGTCTGGCTCCAGCACACAGTCAATATCAGGCCTCTTGGTCCTGGGAATAGCATACAATGGGTACCTGTCTCCATGACGGATCATCACTTGGACGGAAACCAGTTTCAAGTTGTGTGGTGCATGGCCTTAACACAGGAAAGAACATATGAATCTAATTATGGTCACCGTTTAAATGGAGATAATTAACATAACCCAGAAGCTACTGGAGAGGGTTACACACAATTACTTTTCAGTGGGCATGTACTGAACCGTTAGAACTACTGCAACACTTCTCAGTGGAAATTAATTTAGTCTTGACTACTAGCATGCTATACAAGAAAACAAAGTTGGTCTAATTTATCAAAGTTTATCTGAAATAAGCACTATTTATAGTGTTCCAAAGCTCATGGGTTGTAAATCCATTATTCAACTCTCATTTTACACTGCAGTTATGAATTTGATTCACAGTTTACAGGCAGCAAAGATCTATTCAAATAAGTTCAGGCTTATCTAATAAAGACAAAGAGTACACAGCAGTAACCCACAATGACTAACAGAAATTGATGTTAGCACGCTGGAAGCTAACTTGTTGATATCAGTTACCCCACTGTGCATATTACCTTTTCTCTACCTATTGAAAAAGCACAATTTATAAGTCAATCATTTCATTGTGATTGGCAAAGTAGTTGCAAAGGAGTTAAGTCATAGTACAGGAATCGCACACATTTATGCTGATAATAAGAAACAACCTAAAATAGAGCATGCAAGCTACTCTCAAACCTCTGTCTAGTTTTGATTTCCTGTTTCTATTTCAGCACAGACACTTACGGTCAAGGAGGAAGTTCCATAGTCTATAGGTCATGAGCCCCAGACATATAGCTTCCATGCTACTTTAGTATAAGCATACAACGAAGAATAAATGCTCATTTGACAGCTTTCCACATGTTTTAACTAGGGCTGGTAATGATTAAAAAATTCCTGTTCGATTAATCGAATTTTTTTTACATCGATTAATCGATTAATTTCGATTAATTATGACGCACATACAGATCCAACTACATTGGCCTATACACATCCAGCACAGCAATGAAGTAATAAAATGAACTAGGATCACACTAATCCAGCACGTTATTAATCTCACGTTCCCCACTCAATATGGCCACCGCTTGAGTGGGGCAACTCAGAATAATAACGTGCTGGATTAGTGTGATCCTAGTTTATTTTATTACTTCATTGCTGTACTGTATGTGTATAGGCCAATGCCAGGGATCCCAACCTGAAATAAGCAATTTCAGGGAGGTGTCCCTCTCATTTCAGGGAGGTGCCCTCTCCCCCCCATCCGCGGAGGGGGGGTTAGGGGGGGCTGGGAGAGAGCACCCCCCTGAAATGATGGCAGATAGCACAGGAAGCAAAAGCTTCTTTGCTATCTGCCGACTTTTTTTTTTTTTAGTATTCTGCCAGTTGCAGTTGTCAGAATAAAAAAAAAAAGGCATAAGAATGCATAGCTAGATTCCTATTGGCTATTGCACTTTGCTATAGCAAACTAGCTAATGCACCCGCCCCCTGCTGCTTTCAATCACCAGAAGAGGACCTGATAGAAAAATTCAGGTCCCCCTCTGCTGATTGACAGCAGCAGTGGGCGGGTGCATTAGCTAGTTTGCTATTGGCTATTGCAAAGTGCAATAGCCAATAGGAATCTAGCTATGCAATTGTATGCCTTTTTTTTCTTTTCTGACTGACGGTCAGGTCCCGATGTCAGAAAAGAAAAAAAAAAAAACGATAGCAGGGAAAGGTTTAATCTGCTCGATTGAGCAGATTAAACCTTTCCAGTAAAAAGTGTTTCTCTCCCGGCCGGGATGTGTACTCACCGGCCCAAGCAGCTCCATCAGGTAAAGAAGGGAAGGGGGAGGAGTCCAGTGACGTCACGGACATCGACATCACCTGACTCCTCCCCCTTCCCTTCGTTAGCCGACAGCCACTTGGGGAAGGAGGGAGGAGTCCGGTGACGTCGATGTCCGTGACGTCACCGGATCTCCGATGGAAGACCCGGAAGCCGGCGGAGAGGTGAGTACGCATCCACGCAGAACTTTGATCGATCAAAATCATTTTGATCGATCAAAAAAATTAACGATTAATCGAGGGATTAATCGTTACTTTCCGCAGCCCTAGTTTTAACCAATTCTCCATTTAGAGTTTAACAATAGTAAATAAAATACACCTGGCACTGAATGTCAACATTTTAGTTAAAGAAGAAAATCAGGCTTAATGAATAAACAAAAGAAATCACATAGTGTATATATATATATACACGTGTTGACATTTAAGAATATGTGTTTCATTTAGGATGTAACAAAAATCTACATATGGTAACATTGCCAGGGACAATATATACAAATAAACTACCAGACAGCGTTATGGGCCTACGGCCTGAAGGTCCCGCAACCACAGGAAGACTAGATGTCAAGTTACCACACATAGGGGGTTTTGTTAACTGTCTTTTCTCTGTACTATTAAAAAGTAAAAAAAACAGAAGAAATTGACACTACCATAAAAAGATTGTTCTTTCTGCAATGATACATAAAAAATGAAAAACAAGCATAGTAGAGGATGGTAGGGATGCATTAATCTCAGCTGCTACTGTCAGTCACCGCTCCCTGCAGGGATTCCCCCCCCCCCCCCCCCCCCCCTGCCGTGACTGTCACTCACGGCTCCCTGCTGGGATCCCCCCCCCCCCCCCCCCGCCCCGATCGCTGCCGATCCAGTGCTGAGTGGAGGAACGAACAGAGGAGGGGCGGGCACAGCTGGCTCTGCCTTGAGATAGGCAGAGCCAGCTGTCACTCATGCAGCTGGGTGGATCCAGACAGTATTGTCGGGATCCGTCACGGCTGAGGCGCTCTCAGTATATCGCGGGCAATAGCTTGCTATATACTGAGCTTTGGGTCACGGAAGGAGGTTAGTATATGTCCTCCCGTGACCCTAAAGAGGACTATGGGGAAAAACACTCACCCCATAGTTCTCTTAAGATTTGAAAATTAAAGAGAGAGGCTGATTGGTCGCAATGCACAGCTGCTCCAGATTTAGTTTGCTCCAGTTTTGATAAATTCCCTTCTCTGTCCTTACATAGTTACATAGTTAGTCAGGTTGAAAAAAGACACAAGTCCATTGAGTCCAACCTATAGAGAAACTATAATT